TAAAAAAAAACCAAAACCCTCTGATGCTAATGATTGTTTGTTTAAGACATTTTACCAAGCTTTTTAAATGGTGGTTTCTGCTTCTCTAGTGGGATGTAGGTTTCTTTGAAAAGATTTATCTGCCTCATTTACTTTCCAAAACAGAAATACAGAATTTGATCCTCTTTCTGTGAATCTGGGAACTGCTGCCACCAACAGTAGGACAGGAAACTGGAGGCAAAGCATGCAGCTGGAAGGTGTTGCCATCCCTGCTGCTGTGATACAGCAGTTGTCTTTCTGAGACAGTGGCACCAAGCAAATTACATCTGTGAATCCATGTCACTGGAAAAGAGCACCACTGGATGGCTGAAGCACTGAACTGCCAAAGTGCTAACTACTGAAAGAAAAGCATGCATTTATGATGGGAATGTCGTGCTATAAACCTTTTATGGGTATTTCCTTTGTGCTATCTGCCACTGACAGCTGTCCAAGAGAAGCAGTTGTGGTACAAGTTTCCTAAACTTCAACACATGGTTAAAACAGATGAATATATGGCATAACACAAGCACTCTCTCCAATACAATGTAGGGTAATGTCTGTAGTGAAAGTGTTTTCAAAGGTGTGTCCAATTTTTGAGTGGCTTCTCCAGTTTTAGTGCTATAAAGGATACTTTACTTGTAACACAGCAGTTCTGCATCAGGAAGTCCAGCATTACAAAAATATTTTGCCTCGGAAGAGTGAACTTAAAACAGAAACCAGTATTCACTGTGTGGTTTAGACAGGGAAGCTATTATAAAAGCTGCTATGAGCACAACTGATGTGCATTAGCTGTTAGTCTGTGTGCTCATGGCTAGTGAGGAATGCACAGTGGTTTTTGGGAAGAGGGAGGAGGTACTCAACTCGGGCAGAAGTAAGCAATGGAGAAAAGCTATGTCTGCTCCAGGTCTGCAGGGAAATAATACTTTCACTAATCTGGCTACTGTTTTTCAAAATGTTTTAATATGCTTAGGCACAATTGCCATTATCATTCTAAAAAGACAGTAATAGTAATTGATTGCAATGCTTAGAATTTCTAGAAGTTGAGAGGCTTCATGCTGTAATGTCAGTAAATCTCTAAATTGGGAAGCCGCAGTCCAGGTATGTAACTACAGCAGATAGAACCAGCTCTGGAGAATGCTGATGTAACACTGAGAATTGCTGCTTTTCTTTCTATTTTCTTCTCCTTACTGCAATCTTAATGTCTACAGGGTGGGAATAAGTGCAGCCAGTAAAATAAACTAATTTTCTTATGGCTAATAGGTTGATTAGCAATTCGTACTTGCTTTATGGATTTGCAGTATTCTGTAAATGAAGCAATGGCCTTTATTGCACTAATGGAATATTTGAATCTCTGAAGTTCCTACAGGTCTTCGATCGTTTGATCCTTTTGCATATGATCAGAAGTAAATAGGAAACACAACAGTTATTGTAGCAAGCCTTGTGTTTTTAAAGCTGTGTTTTGAAGAAGTTGCCTTTGTGATGTTCATTCTGTGATCTTTGGAATTTGTCAGAGATTCCAATTTTATAAATATTCACAATGTCCGTAAGTTTAAACCTAATATTCCATGCATGTATTGCAGTGCCCTGGAGATGAAATCCTTTCCTGGTTAGATGCTTTCTTTTCTCCATGCCCATGTGCTATTTTGCGTAAGTGGCAAAGATCTAACTCTAAAGCCATAACTGCTGCTTGGATGTAATATTTGTGGCCAGGAAGTAGGAAAAAGTTTATTGCAAAACCAAACCATTTCCTTTTTATAGTATTTTGGAACTGATTGTCAAAAATTTAAATAGGGTTGGGGCTGATGCCTCTGCCCAAGAAAAGGCTAGAGGGAGAGTTTTCCATTGTTAACAATGCACATATTAAATTGAAGGAAAACATTTACGCACTTTAGTTTCACTTTCTTTGGAACTGGTTGAGTCTGTAGTATTTTTCCCATTAAATCTCAGCAGTAGGAGGGTACCATTAAAGCTTACTTGCCAGGAGTTCTTAGGGACTTAATTGCCAAACTAGGCAAATGAGCCCAGAAATGCAAGTGAAATGGATACTACCAGTGAAAAGAAAAACCTGGAGAATGTATTTGAGACGTCAATATATGGATCGGGTTACAGATGTACCTCAAATGCTTAATACTCTAATAATCAATTTCTGTATTGTTACAGATCTTTTTTCAATTTCTTAAACTGCAGTAAGGCAAAATTGATGGGGTTTGGTTTTAATTTTTTCCCCTCTTCTACTTTTTTTTAACAACTTTTGAAATAGGAATCTGAAGCAGGTGAATAGAAAGACAATAACTTTTCTTAAATTCCGTGGATCTCTCTTGCTCTTTACTTCCCTACAGGCAGATTAACTGCAAATTTTTCTGAGTAACTTTTATTTCCCTGCTACATCTGAAGAACCTAGTAGTTGCGTCTGTTCTCTTAGTAGACACAATGATATCCTACTTTCCAGTCTGGCTGTTGCTGTGGGATGTTTTACCAGTTTTCCTGAAGACTGGTAAAATCTGCCCTTTTCCTGGTGAGCTCTCATCATTTCTGTGAGGAAAAGCAAGAACTTAGTACTGTGGTGTACTGCTTGAAGGTGGCTCCCTGGTTAAGAAAGCTGCTTTCCACGTGGTTCAGATGCCTCCCATCTGAACACTGCTAAATTCACTTGCAGGAACTGGGTAAGTGGTGGTAACCTGCTGTAAAAATAATATATTCATCACCACCATCTACTGCTGCTGAGGGGAGAGGCCTGGAAGGTGGCACTTTTTACACCCTGACTTAAACTGTTCTTGTATTCCAAAAGGTATGCTGATTCTCTTCAGCAAGCTTTTAAGGAAAGTAAGGCAATTTATTTGTATATTTGCATAGAGGCCTGATTTTTCTGCTGGAAGGAAAGCAGTCAGTGTTATTACTGAAAACAGTTTTATCCATTGGTTTTACATGGCATAATCTGAAAGTGCTGAAAGCCTCAGTTCTAAGGGAAAAGCTTTAATCTTTCCTGGAAGGAAGCATTCGGAGTGCTTGGGATGTTTCTTCAATGTAGTGCTTCTCTAGTGAAAACCAAGTAATTTGTTGTGCACGTGGTTCAGGATTAGCTTTGCCAGCTGAACTACAACATATGTGTCTCTTCTGGGCTCTGTTTTTATTTACACTGAAGTATCTCTTGACCGGGCAGAAGTATTTCCACATGATACTTATGAAATTAAAATCTGGGGGAAGGAAGTTGTGTTTTTTTTCTGGTTTTATGTCAGAAGGGATATCTAGATGGGGATCATAACCTGCTATTTTTAGACAGGCAAGGCTTAATAGTAAATGTCTGTCTTGTGTTATTTTTTTTTCCTATCACATATCTTGCTTTCAACAGAAATCATTATTTTAGTGTCATCCTTATGGCAGAAACATTGGGTTGTTTGGGGTTTCTTTTTCTTCTTCCTGACTTCCAAATACAGTAAGGACCTCATTGCTGTACACAGTGTCTGACATTATTAGTAACACCATTATAAAATTGTTTTTCTTGGATTTAGTTTTCAATCTGCAGGAACAAAGCCTGCTTCTGTATGAGCTGAGTTAACTAAAGCATATGTCTTACTGGTGAAGATGAAACCATAGCCTTGCCTTTTTCAAGATGTGCTAAGGAAATAGGTGTGTTTCCAATAATGAACTTTATGCTTTTCTGAATCTTGTATAAGCTGGAGAAATAAGGGCTATGATGTAATACAGATTGAGTATTGGTATTTTTGTTATAACTGTCAGTACTGTCTTTTTAAATCTATACTTTTTCAGTTTGCCTTTCCTGACCAGTGGTCTGGCTTTCCCTTCTGCTGCTCTTTGTTACTTCAACATTGGTAGCAATCATATTAAATAATGTATTGATTTCTTCTGGAGCACCTGGCTAACAAAGACTTGAGGCGTAAATAGTAACGTTTTTATCTTTAAGTTCTACTAGTGTGATGAGTTTTCTTTCAGGGGATGAGAAGCTTAGATAAAGAGTTTAAAGGGTTTTATTGTGGTCAGGTTTAAAGTTTATATACTATGCCAGTTTAAATGGAAAGCTAAAACGTATTTTCATCTTGACCTTTAAAGGAAGATCTAGAATAAATGTGTGTTTCTCTTTGTATCCATTTCAGCAGTTTGTGAGAAAATAAATATAGTCCCATTGTAATTCCTGGGAGCTTTCTCTACTTTTAGGAAAGAAATTCAATGAAGACAATAAAAAGATGTTTGGGAGTATAATCTTAGGCCATATCACAGTTCTTTATATAAGGAAGCAGAACTGTTCTTTAAGTGTTAGACAACTTTGCCAGTGTTTCAAACATAACATTTCTTCATGTAGTGTAGTAGCAGAGTCAGGACACAGCAAAGCCTTTGTGTGTCTATAAACACTAAAAAAATAGGTTGGTTTTGTTTTTCCTTCCCCTTCGTGCCAGTATGTAACAGGCCTTCTCTCACTGTTTGTGCATTTGCATAGTTCCTCTCACATACGAAGAATCTCAAAACATAATTTTACATATTACTTTTTATGTACAGCAGTTGTTGTTTACATCTGCAATTATTTGTTTTTCTCTTTCCTAATTGCTTGCTCTATGAAACAGTTCCCTTTACCTGAATTGGAGTTGGAATGTGTCTTGTAGAAGAAAAAAAATAAAATTGTTTGCTAAAGTTAGAAGCCTTTCCTTCTTCCCCTGGAAAGAGTTGTTCTGATCAATCTGGACATGCCAGAGAATAGCCAGTCCTAAACTGTGAATCCTCCTGGAAAATACTTGATCATCTCTAACAAGCTCCACAGGAGCTTTTTGTCTTTAAAATGTACATTAATGTTCAGTTTGAAGTACAAATTTGGGAAATGTTAGCTTCCTACGTGCTGAGTTGCTCTTCATGCATCCAGCCTTACCAAACTTACTATTTCTGCTACTTAAGAATAACTTGTGCCTATGCTTCCTACGTGAAATCTTCTCCATAAGCTGGAAGGCTCACTGCTGTGTTCTTTTCCACATACAGGCTCGTGTTATGTATGATTTTGCTGCTGAGCCTGGAAACAACGAGCTGACCGTCAGCGAAGGGGAGATCATCGTCATTACCAACCCGGTAAGAAAACCAAGATGGAATCAAGGCCTCAGTGCACTTTCTTGGCCTACTTCTAGCAGGTGGAAGGAAAAAGGTGCTAGGTGGCACGTGAAAGCCTTGGCTACCCTGAAGAAATAGCAAATTAACTAAATACAAAGATTTTTCTAATAGTTTTGTGTAAACAAATGCAGCGAGCAGTTTTGGAGGACAGGGGCCCTCTCAGATTGTGCCTGCACACTTAGGAATTTGCTGAGCTTTGTTCCCTTGAGTTCCCACACAGCTTGAGTGCCAAGGCAGAGGAAGGAGCTAAAGATGGTGATACCCTTTACATTTGAATGTGTTGTCTTTTTGTTGTGTGCCTAATGTTCCACATTTTTCTTGTATGAAATCTTTCAGGTGCTTGCCACTTGCACGTAAATCTGATGTGCCAGCACCCTTCTTGGTTTTGAGTTTCGTTATCAGTGACTTCAGCATTCCAAATTTGGTCAAAGAACTGATGACAAAATTTGTTGCTAAGTTTGTATGTCCTTTCATAATTAAAGCAATATGGACAAGGTACAGGGAAGGAGTGGTGGAAGTAGTATGGTAGTACTATCAGAGATTTCTTAAATTAATATACCTTTTGAACACTGACAATTGATTTGCTTGTGCAATTTGAATTTGAGTGCACTTTATTGTCCTGTTGTAATTCTTACCCTTTATAACAAGGGAAGTGTTAGTTGATTCTGCTTTTGATTTTTGTGTAGTAATATAGCATAGTGAATAGATTTTCCTTTTAAAATACAAAACCAAAAACTGCCTGATCTTGCTGACAGGTTGTATACAATCAAATAAATAAGAAACAAGGGTTCTGTAGAATGAAATAATTCTTTGAAGAGCCTAGTCATGTATAATCCTGTTTAATTTTTAGTTGCACTGAGTTTAAATATTTGAAGTATATACTTAATAGAACCAGCACCCTCTTGGATAGGATGTGATGCTGTGGCAGAGGTAACATTTAAAGTGAGTTCAGGGGTTTAATGCCATTTCATAACAGTAGAACTAAATAAATAGTTTACCACTGTTAAGCTTCTTCTTGCTGGAAGAGGCATCTGTATTTTAAGGCAATGTACTTAAAAGCAAGTAAAACTTTATTTTATGCTGTGCATTATTAAACCATGGGATAAATTGCCATAAAGGCTCTTGATCTTTTTGATATGATAAGTTTAGACAGTAATAGCACACTCATGGATGTCTGTTGGTAATTGCCCCTAAGTGCTGCAGTGCAAATGTGACTTCTGGCTTAAGATGCCATTGCTCTTGTAGTTTAACCAAGCTAGTTGAATTTAGTTTGAACAACTAGATATCTGGTTGTTTCTGCATTCTTGAGTGTAAGCTTTTGGCTATACTAGAAAAAGCAAATGGAAGTTTGTTATTTCAATAATTGATTGATCTTTACTGTTTAAAGTCTTGAACACATAAGCAGACTTCTCCTTACTATATGCAGGACTACATAAAATTTCCAAGAGAAAGAACAAAATTGTGAATAAATAAATACATCAATTGAAAAGCAAATTAAGAAAACCTGAAATTTAATAATTGCTGTCTAGCATGTGTTGGTTCCAATTTTCAGCTCTGAGTTAGCTTAATGTGTAACTAGGCATTCAAGGAACAGCTAGGTTTAAACCAGTACTGGCTTATTCCAGATAATACTGTCCTGGAATTGACTTTTCTTAACTGCAAAGGTCTGCAAAGGTTTCGTAATGTATGTAGAATGTTTTTTTTAAAAAGCAACCAATAACAGGATACCCCACTGAGATCAGAGCTGACTGTCTTAGTTCTTTCCAAACTAATAGCACAAGACCTGTCTCGGAAATTAAATGTAAACTAGAAAGAATATCTCCAAATCTTGCATGGCATGTCCCTCTCTTAATGTTGAGATTGTCCTTAATATTCTTGTGGGTTATAGCTCCCACTCATCACACACCTCTACATCTTCAATAAGCGAAGCAGAAAGTTTACAGGTATTACCAATAGCTTGATTTCTTGAGCCTTAATCTGTTGATTAAAATTAATGCTTTGAAATTGGCATACTAGTAGCTGTGTTTTGTCGCAGTCTGTGTCCAGACAATTGACTGTGGTTTCTTAAATGATCAAAAGTGCTGAAAAATCAACCTTTCCCACTCATGCTTGTTAAATCCAAAGTCCACAACAGCTGTGTGAAGCAAGTGTAGTCTGTGTTCTGTTTAAATGAGTATATGCTGCTTCAGCAGATCTAAGCAAGTTTGTTCGTGGTCATACAGTCATAACTGTATTTCAAACATTGCATTTGACAGCAGGACTTCCCTTCTGAGCTGTTTAAAGCGTGCTGTGTGCTCCATCTGACAAAACTACTTCTATATTATTATTATTGCTTTTAGGATGTTGGTGGAGGCTGGTTAGAAGGAAAAAACAGTCAAGGAGAGAGAGGACTTGTTCCAACAGATTATGTTGAGGTAAGTGACTATTACACTGCTCTGCACTAAGAAAGCAGAACTACTCCAAAGGCCATCCTCTGGTTCACTGATCAGTCTGTAATGCCTAAGCACTTCCAGTGTTAGAGCTTAGAATATACAATCTTACTGTAGCAACTGTAGCTGGCTTTGGAGACCAGTGCAAACATGCTAGCCAAAGCTACTGTGCTTCTTGGTGGTTTCCCAAGAAATGCAGCAGGAGGTTGTCTATAGCAAATACTGGTGATTGGCAGAACATGAGCTATTTTGAGTCTGCTTTTGGTTTTGAGGGTCTCATGATCCAATAATTGTTTTGTTTTTCTGTCAGAAGATAAAGATACGGAAGTGAAATGAGTAATGCAAGTTTACACTGGTGTTGCTGTGGCTGGTTTGCCACATACTCCTACATCTCTGGAATGGAACCTCATTTCTGGGGCTCGTGGTATGGGTTCCCAAATCCAGGGACTACTTAGTTCATCTTCTTCCTGAGGGTCTTTGCTGTCTTTTCAGTGTGTGTTCATTTGCTCATTGTTTAAAGACTGCTATTATGGGGGTGGGGATGGAATGGGTGTCTCAGTGCAAAGACTTCACTCTTTGAGGGCCCAGTGTCTGTATGTCTGCAGGTTGCCAATTAAGTGAAAACTTTGCCTGTAATTCCTGCAGCCTCCTCTTAAGGCATGTGCCCCTCTTCCTTCACTAGTGCTGTGTTGATTTAAAAATCAATGGTGAGGGGAGAATGCTAGTTCACATAACCTTGTTTTTGGTCTTCAGCTGGCTAGCTCATGGTCTAGTAGCTTTTGGCTCTCCAAACTTGCTGTCCCAAACTGACCCTCTGAGTATGAGTTCCCAGTCTCCAAGCAGTAATGTTAACAACTTTGTTAATCCCCAGCAAATTCGTAGTTAGGTGTCCACTGCCGTCTTGCATGTTACGCTGTGATAATGGAGACCAGTTCCATCTGTTGTGGAAGTAAATCCTACAGATTCTCACATGAACTTTTTGTGAAAGGTAGTATTCAATTTGGATTCAAAAAGGGTATATGCAACCATCTTAACATCTTAACATCTAGTGACATGAATGTGAAGATGATTATGATAAACAGCATAATTTGATTAATGGAAGTGTAAAAAATCTTTTGCAACTTTTTCCATTTCAGATTATAACCGAAGGTGCAAAAGATGGAATTAGCTGCGGCAACTCCTTAGCTGACCAAGCCTTTTTTGATTCCCTTTCTTCAAACACAGCTCAGACCAACGCTGCTGCGAAAAGCAGTAATCAGGTATGTCTCCAAGTTTTTCAGGCACAGTGGGGGCATGGCAGGTTCTGCTGGCATAAGTGCTTGTCCTCTTCAGTTGTGCTGTATCATATTTGTCAACTCTCATAAAAGTACTAATTAAAGTAATTGTGCTTTCATTAGAGAACAGTTTTGTTGAATCTTAATGATACAGATGCCAGTTCAGCTACTGTTCCTGCTAGAAAAATTAGTGTTCTAACACTTGCAAAAACAGAGCATTTTTATTCATTCTAGCGGGCAGTAATATGAATCAGACTACCTCAGTCTCTGCACCTTAATTCTGTATAAATGCACTCTTAGCAAATTTACTTTATTTTCAGGTTACTTGTGTTAGTATGCTAACCTTTTTAAGGAACTATAACTTCCTTTTTGAAAAAACATCTGCTACTATTAGGTGGTCCATGCATCATCAGCCAGAGTGAATGAATAATTATCTTTTTCAGAATTTGAGTAAGAGTTGTTTCTTCGGTTAAAAAAGGTGAAGCAAGTTCATGCATTGTCCCTAGTCTGCTGAAGAAGAGGCTGACTTTGATTTTGCTGAAAGGACGGGGTTTTTGGGGGGAGGAGATTTTGTTTTTCCCCCTACTCTTTTTATTCATAATTTTTTGCCCAGTATCTCAGTTCATTAAGCAGGAAGTATTTAGTCTCAGGTTAGATATTTGAAGACATACATTATCTTGAACACAAGCTGTTTATTATGGTCTGCAGACTGCTGCATGTCCCACATATAAGAACAGTTAAACGTTTCAAAGTCCACAGGTCAACAGAAGAACAAAATCTTTTCCCAACAACAGCATGCAAAGGTCTCACCTGTTGGAAAGTAAATGTTTTACTCATCATAGCAGCTGGGGACACATGCCTGGTTTGTAGATCAGTGAAATACCAGTCAGTAGTTTTCTTAATTGTATCTTGCAACATAGGACTTCAACATGAGGTATGATCTCTTGAAAACTGTACATGGGGCACTTTTGTATGACAGTAAATGTAACAGTTCATTGACTGTATAGTATTTGATTTGTGCTTGCTTGTATTCAGCCAGACAATGTCAGGGTCGTGATTCCGTGATCACATGCATAGTGAGATCTCCAGACCTCACTGTGACTGTTTCACTGTTTATCACTGTTTTTTTATTGATGCCCAATTAATATTTAGGTTAAACACAGAATTCTCAAAATGCCTTATTAATTTCTCATGTCAGACTGAGCCAGAAGCATTGATTATAGGTTCATTTTCCCTCAGTAAAACTTAGTCGAGTAGAAACCTCATTTCTTCTGTTCTGTCTGTTACCCCTGCCGCATTTTTTCCTCCTACAGATTTTCTAGTGAAATGTTACTTCTGGGTAAGCTTGAAATATTTGCAGCAGCTACTTCTGTCAAATCCAAATACTGTTTCTCTTCTGAAAGAAGAGAATCATACCACTTAATTTGACATAGGAGGAATTGCTTACTAACAAAATGAATATACAGTATTTTGAATGGTGACAGAGGTATCTATCGGAGGTTGATCTGTGCTTACCAGAAGGTACTTGCACCTGGACAAGAGAAGAAAAAAGCCCTTGCCTATACAGGAAGAAAGGTTAAAATAAAGGTATCTATTATATCCTAAATAACAGATAATTACTATGGCAATCTAGTTTTGGAAGTTGCATTTCATAGAAATGGTTTGAGTTGAAAGGGACCTTAAAGATCACCCAGTCCAACCCACCTACCATGGGCAGGGACGCCTCCCACTAGACCAGGCAGCTCAAAACTCTAATTAGCTTATTGCTAATAGGAATTTAATTTGTATACTTAGCACTCTGGATTCCACTTTGGGCTGTTAGGCCTTTCTCTCAAATTGGAGAGCTCTCTAGTGCATAGTATTTTCTCCTTGCAAAATTCTATGGCTGATTGTCCTCTTGATTAAGAAATTCTGTCAGTTCTGTCTCTCTGGTGCGAGACACTAACTGCACTCAAAAAAAAAATGCTTTCTTCTTCAATCTCTTTGATTTTGAGACTTGTCTAAAATGTGAGCGTTGCTCCTCTGTACATTGTGTGATGTCAAACTGGTTTGATGTTGCTGTTCTGGTGCAGAAAAGCCTAATATAGTGAAAGACTGCATTGACTACTGTAATGTTGCATCAGGAGGTTATACTGAGTTGCTATTGCCCTGCATACTGGCTTCTCTTTTAGAGCCCCTGCTTATAAGAATATGATCATTTGCTTTGTGGATCACCTGCTTTGTGGGTATGACCCTTATTCCTAGATGTATTACTCTGCATTTGGTTATGGTAACATTTACACTGTTTAACATGAGTTTGCTCAGGCTCTTTGGCTTGATTTTAGTTCAGATGCACAGTTGCAAGCAATTGACTTATCCTTTTCAAGTGCCTTAATGAGTGACTAGGTCAGTATACAAAGCACTTAATCTTAAATGAAATTTGTGTGTTCAGGCTATGGAGAGCAAAGAAAAATGACCGATTAGTGTCAATGTAAAGGGAATCGATGCCGGAGATGGCACAGTAGTGGGAAATAAAATGTTCATAGATATAGTCTGGTGGACTGAATAAAAAACAGCAGCATTCCTAAATGCTGACATTTTATGCTATCTATTGTATTTTATAGTAACAAGTAACAAAAGACTTTACAAAAGCACTTCTAAATAAACAGAATATTTTAGGATTTTTCTTACTACTACTGTATTGAAGGAATTATTTTCTGTAAACATTGAGTCACTTTAGCATACACATCATTGCTCAACATCCCCACCCTCCAATTTCAGTAAGTCTAAAGGTGTTTTAGTTCTTAGAGTTCCTTCCATTCTTCTAACAGTAAGTAAAAAAATAGGTGGGGAATAAAAAATACAGTCTATCAGTGCCAAGCCTTATTAAGAACGCCATCTGGCTGAGTTGAAATGTGTGTGTGGAGTGTTTATGGTTTTCTTTAAGAGAAAGACAGTTAAACCGCAGTGGTGTGGTTTAACCCCAGCTGGCAGCTCAGCCCCACCCAGCCACTCGCTCCCTCCCTCCCACAGTCGGATGGAGGAGACAAATCAGAAGGGTAAAAGTGTGGGAATTTGTGGTTTGGGATAGACAGTTTGATAGGTAAAGCAAAAGCCACACACAGAAGCAAAGCAAAATAAGGACTTCATTTACTACTTCCCATCGGCAGGCAGGTGTTCAGCTGTCTCCAGGTTAGAGCATCATGTGTAATGGTTACTTGGGAAGGCAAATGCTGTATCTCTGAATGCCGCCCCACCTCCCTTCTGTCTTCCTTCTTCCCTCAGCTTTATAGGCATTCATATGGTATGGTCAGTTGGGGTCAGCTGTCCCAGCTGTGTCCCTTCTTAGCCTCTTGTGCACCTCCAGCTTGCTTGGTGGTGGGACAGCATGAGAAGCAGAGAAGGCCTTGGTACTCTGCAAGCTCTGTACAGCGATAACTAAAACATCCCTGTGTTATCAACACCGTTTTGGTCATACCAGCTACTATGAAGAAAATTAAGTCTACCTCAGCTGAAACCAGTACAACCAGTTATATTTGAATGCAGACTTTATAACATTTTTTCTGTCTTGGTTTTATTTTTAAAGTTCTGAACTGATTATCCTGTCAGTTTAGAAATACATCTCAAGTGGCAATGTGACAGGGCTTAAATTCCAACAAAATTATTTTTGAGCTTTATACTTTTTTGTTTTGTTTTCATATGCCCTGATAGGTCTGGGGAAATGACTGCATTTCTTAAGCAGCAATGCTACATGTAATACAGAACCCTAAATCATGACAGTTTTCCCAGATCAGTTGCTATGTATGCATCTCTCTCTCTTGCAAAATAAAACTTACTCCATCTCTTTATCTATACCAATACATTTTTGCTTTCCAGGCAAACAAGAGGCTTTTGGTTTCCTACTCTGGAATCCATAACTTTTTAGTGTTAAGAAAACATCATCAGCTCAAACACTGCCCTATGCCCTGTCTGTCCCAAGAAGGTTTTTTGGTTTTTTTTCAGTAAATAATCTCCTGAGAAGTAATTAATAGACAATAACTAAAAGCAGCTGCTGTTACTTCTTTTTCTTCAGTGAGAAAGAGAGAGTGACCACAGCAACACTTTGATGTTGTACCTTACCTGGGTTTGCCACAGATGTAAAGTGACAGTAGAAAAGTGGCACAGAGGTACTTCCTAAGGAGAAGAGAAGAATTCCCTATGACCCTTGGCAGTTAACTATTCCCCAACTAATTCCTTGCACCAGGAGTGTCTCAGCAATAGCTGCCTTGGTGAAGCTTGCAGCTGCTCTTTCGAAGAGAAGATACTGGGGAGATGAAAGCAATCAGAGGAAGCAATGAAGCTAATTTTACACAGACAAAGGGGAAAAAATGTCTCAAGGTGACCATTTCTACACTGGGAATAAGAAAAGCAGATAGGAGAATTTAATGTTACATCAACCTATAACATTTGTGGTTTAATATCTGAAAAGCCTTTTAAAATATTCAAAGAAAGACAGTTTAAGTAGCTCTTAGTTGCCAAAGATGGAGGTTTTGCATCGCTTTTGTATGGGTCTCGAGCTGTTTTGACCTTGTAGCACTTGGACAGAAGAAGCAAAGGGAATTTGTCAATCCACTGTTCCTCTGAGCAGCAATGCAAGTTGCTAATTTTAGATTGTCATTTGGAACAACCAGTGAGTAAGTGTATCAGCAGTTAGGTTTTTTCTGTTTGTTAGAATTGCATGTATATATATTGAAGTACCTGTAAACTCTTCTGGCGTTAGAATAACACTGGCAGTAATGGCACTGAAATGAATAGAAATTATGGCAGGTTGCACCAGATAAATGTCTTGAAATACACTGAACACAAAATTTCATCTTTCTGATGAAAAATAAGTAGTGTATTTTTCTCTTGTAGTATTTCTTTGATGTGTGTTTCTTCCAAGGGCTGTAGCAACAATGGATATCCTGTTTCACAATTTTAAATAGTGTTTCTCATTTTAGTTGACCAAGAGGATGTTAGCTTGGTGG